GCAGGAATGTTGAGGGTGTATCTTTCGATTCAGCTTGAATCACTCTGTCCTTGTGCTGTCAATTTCAGAAGATGTTCATTTCCTTTGCAGAATATTTTGGGAGTTCGGAATGATGTTCATTTCTTCTGTTAAAATGGCATTTAGTACTAATTTTATAAGTGCATCTTGTGTGAAACTCAATAAATTCAATTTTGTAATCTTTTTTAAAAAGGTCACCATTTATTTTGATAATGTTTACTGTTATATTTGATGGAAAATGAATTTCCCACTCTGTAATAAGAATTTATTTCTCATTTACAAGTGACGGGACTATGTGAAATATTCTTTTGGTCTTAACAGCAACAAAATGTTTGATTTTTGTCTTTGGGAGAAAAGAATAAAAGGCTGGGCATTGATCATAGACCATTCACTATCTCTCAGTAAATGAAAGTACGTGCATTTTACAGATGTTCTGAATGTCACCCCATACGCTTTTCACATCTGGGAGTCAAGTTCAAGACATTACTTTGGTTTTAAAATAAGGCACAGCATAGTTCAGACTCCCGTTAGCTTCTCCTTTGGACTAGAAGCCTAAACACCAGGAGCCTTCGGGCGCCCGGCCAGGTCCTGTCCGTCCTCTGGGCCTCTGGCTGCAGCTGGTCTTCATGCTCTTCACGCACACCCGTGGAAGGAACTCGTTATAATTGGGTCCTCAAATTTTTTCCTTCCTTTCTTGGTAACTAAACAGAGGAGGACATGCATTCACGAAATAATTTAAAACCATGACATTTCGGTATGTTTCCGTCTCATCTCTCTATTCTTTGAGCCGAGATGTATTTTACACCCGCGAGTGAGGTACTATTTTAGATGCTGGGATCTAGTGAAGAAAGTCCCTGCTCTTCTCGGGGAGACCGATAGCAAACAGTCAGCTAAATAACATCTGTTGGAGACGCGTCTAATGGCAAAATGATCTCTCTGGTTTATTTCAGTTCTAAAATAAATCTAGTTCTTTAACATTTTTTATGTAAGTCTGATTTTTTTCCTGTTGGAGTTGCTGAAAATGAGATCGCTGTACAGCCGTTTCAAATACTTCTATAAAATAGAAATAAGAAAATGCATTTTCACTAAAGACTGCTAGTTGTCCATCAGCCTCTTTTGTTCCATAAGTACAGAGTCGTAGCTGGGCACATCGCTGCCTAGTCGGGGACGACATTCCCAGGTCCGTCTTGCTGTTCCATGTGGCCAAGTGACTAATTTTCAGCAAGGGAAGGAAGTTGAAGAGGTAGATGCCATGAGTCCCCTCCACCTCTCCCCTTCCCAGCAGCCGGAACCCAGAACAGGTGCTTCCTCACCCCAGCCGTGCAGATAAATGCCCAGCACTCCCAGGATGGCAGAGCCACCGGAGGGAAAGGACCTGGGTTCCTCAAGGCCTCTGCGGAGCAGAGTTGGCCATCACTTTGCCCATCAGTTGAGTCTGCACGAAAGAGAAATAGATGCCTTTGTTTCTAAGCCACTGAACTTGGGGGGTCCGTGTGACAGTTCGCATACACTAGGAAGTCTGGTAGGTCCTATTTAGAGATTTCTACACAAATGGAATAAGGCATTAGACCAATCTCTAAAGCGCATGCTTCTAGAAATACTCTGGATTCTCACATTTATTCTGTTGTTTTTAGGGGAAAAGGTAAAGATATGCTCCATTTATTCAGCAGTCAGCCTCTCCTCTTGAACTGATCATTAAACTTGCTCGTAAGCGGCAAAGTCCTGTTTGTCCAGTGCGCCACCAGATAGGCCTTGCCCCTTCTCTCAGCAAATTTGTGTACACAGTCGAAGAGCAGATGATGAGGATAGCCTGACGGCACAGAGATGCGGGAGCAAAAGGAGTTAGTATATCAAAAGAGCAGCCAACACATCATCAGGGGCCAGTTGGGGGCCAACGGTGCCATGTAAGTGACTGCTGAAAACACGCCTGTGCTGTGGCTCAGCAGCAGGTGTGGCGTTCCTCAGTGCCCAGACACCTAGGATGTTTTCGGTTATGTTTTGTGAAGGAGGAATGTGTACAATCGAGAGGGCAAGTTGTTTAAAAAATCAGTGTTCTAAGGGGGAGTCTTAGTGATGTGGAAGTGTGCTCAGCAAACACAGCCTCGCTCTTCCAACTTTCAGAAAGGAAATTTCAGTCATATACGGCAAATCAGGGAAGGGTACGTTTTGGCATAGTGTAGTATTGTATCTGAAGTTTGATATTTAACGAAAAAGACTAAGTAGCTGCATAATGTGTTTTGCTTTTACCTTACAACTTTATTTTTGGCAAGTGAGGAGGAAACTCAGGGTCCTTGAGAGTACACTTGGCACCTTCGTAAGGGGATAGATCAAGAATTACAGAACGCATCAGCTCTCGAAGCGTCAATCACCTGCAAAGTGGGTAGTTATTTTTGAAACTAATTATTTTCGATAAACATATTCTCATTTCAATTTAGATATGTCTACATAAGAAAGTAAAGATTGGGAATGGTCAGAAGTAGCTATAATACCAGGGTTCATCAGATAAGTGACATACGGCAAAAGCTGCATTGACATCTTGTTGGGCTTGATTTAACAAAAATTAATTGCGCGGTCACTGCGCAAAGCGCAGAAATGAAGATACGCTCTCTGCTCAAAAGCTTGTCTATATTCTAGTAGGGGGACTGTTAGTTACATCGAGCGGGCAGTCACAGTCCATGACATAAGCACTACATGGACACAGGTCCTGGGCGTAGCAGAGCACCTGACAGGAGACACAGGAAGGTGTGTGCGTGGGCTGCCTGTAAAAGTGAGTAGGAGTCAAGTGGATGAGAAGGGAAATGGAGGTCAAGCGAAACGCGAACGAAGCACCGCGTGGCTGAGACAGCGTGGCCGCAGCGCGGGCCTCCATCCACTCACTGGACCGTAGCTGAGGCCTAGTGAGCGCCGCCCACCGTGCCGATGTTACAGAATCACCTCCCAGAATTCAGGTGCACGTGCCTGATGGCGCCGGGAACCCAAAACGCTGAGGTGCCGGTGCTTGGAGAGAAGGCCTTATTCAACTTGGCCAAGGGAGAGGATGGGAGAGCGAGATCTCGCAAACCTGTCCTCCTCAGAAAGCGAAAATACAGAGTCTTTAATGTGACTAGAGAGTCGAGGGGAGGGCGGACCTGCAGGGAACGAGAGAAGTCTGTTGTTTCAGTCAGAGCTTTTTTTGCATCAGGCTCCTGGGCGTCAGCAGCTGGTCGCAGTGACCTTGGAGATAGTCTTCTGTAAAACGAACTCATAAATTCTCCTCTCGACCCTGAAGTTATCTTCTCCCAAAGAGACACCACCTTAGCAACTTATTTCTACGTTGGTGAGAACAAAAAAGCCTTGAGCAGGAAGAAGAGTGGACAAAGGCTGCTTTCTCCTCCACCCCTGGCTGGTGTCACCTGGCTGTGGCTTGAAGGAAGAGCTGTAGTGTAGTCACAATAACAGTCATCTTTAAAGCAGTACTTATTAGGCATCAACCACAAATCGTCATATAAGGCCCTTTTAATTTATACCTCCTCCGACCTACACGGTGTCCCTGCGAAGTCCCCATTTTACAGATGTGGAAACCGAGCCACAGGAGGCTCTTCACAGTCACCCAGCTAGGGAGGAACAGGGCCAAGATTGAAGGCTTGGTCTCTGTGATGGCAGAGTGCCCGTCCTCAGCCCAGCTCTGCACAGAGCCCCCATCAACACACGCAAGATTTTTTTCTTTTTTTATAATTCTTTTTCAAT